GGCATTGGTATGGATTTGATTAGAGAGGAAAAAAAAAAAATCACTGTTCGGGAAAAAAGTCACCCTGCTATCTAGATATTGCTGAAAGAAGCCTATACTACATTGTTTGATGCATCCTAATTAAACGCCGCTTCTTATTGTCAGTATTTTCCTCTTTAATTATCCTCTCATTTCTGGCCACATTTTTCCAGATTGTGGCGATCTTTTCCTATTCCCAGATGTTCAACACCCTGATTTTTCTTCCTTATATCCCTGTCTTTTGTTTTAGTTTAGCCAAGCCTGACTGCCTTGCGGCATCCACAGCTCCCATAACTCCTCAGAGCCCAGTTTATTTTCCTCAAAAAGCACACATTTCCAAAATCAGGCTATTGTGCATGGATTCTTATTCTTTTTACCTGTAATATCAAAAGTAGACTTTAGCTTTATTATTTCTGTGTTTCAGGAGAAAGAAAGGGAAAACATTGCTCCCCTAAATGACCCAGCTCCTCTACCAAATAATCTTTTTGGTACTTCTCAGCTTCTCATTTACACCAAGCAGGGGAGCTGCAAAAGAGAGGTCAGTTGTACTGTTCTTATCGTTAGTCCTGAACAGAGCAAAGCAGCACCATATTAGGGGGCAGGAGAGCATTTTCCCTGTATATTCCCTCCTGCAGTGCAGTCCCTCCTTTAGGCAAGCACAGGACTTCAGCTTCATTGCAGGATTTGATACGAATCAACCGTCCTGCTCTGCCAAGCCAGAACGCCTTAAGAACATGGGAGCATGAAACAAAACACGGTTCTTTCAAGTCTTAGACCATCTGCTTCTGTGGATGCTACTGTAAGGCAGACATGGAAATCAGCTTCAGAAACAAGACTGAGGGGAAAAAAATCTTGCAACACATAAGAGCTTAAAAACTCTTTGCATGTAACCTGTACTTAACGCACTCCTCCTTAATAGAGGTACTTCCATAATGGTTAATTTGTTAAGGAAAAAGCAGAAGTTAGTTAAAATGGTAACAAATAAGGAGAATGGATTTGCAGTCAGTGTATTACCTAGACAAAATGCCTACAATTCCTTCATGTCTCCCAAATGCTTCCCCAAAATGGGCCAGAAAGAAGAGTAAAACTTTCTCTAAAACTATTTTTGTGATACAGCTTAAGCACCTGCACCTAACAAAAGCTTAAAAAAATGGAATTTGGCCAACACGGTTTGTAGCTTTCAAACCAGCAACCATGCTGTAATAGATTATCACTAAAAAGTAACTAGTGTCAAATTCACAGCAAGAGAGCAGTATATAGTCCTGCTATTAAATATAGGATGCCCACAATGGCTTCCTCCTCTCAAAGGAATCTTACTCTCAATTAGCAGTTATTAAAAGAATCCACATAGGAATTAAAGAAAGGAGAAAACGGAGCCTAATCCTGCTGCCCGAGTCCCTGCTGCTATTAGAGCAGGACACAAGCAAACAGTGCCTCTGCAACACAGCAGTTCTCCAAAGGATTTACTAGTACTTGACAAGCTTACTACTACGCTTAATAAAGGTGATAGCGAAGAATATTTTACATAGCTGTTTGCACTTGCAGTCTGCAATATATGCACCTGCACATATAGTTATGTTTAGTTAAATTACTTTAGAAAGGGGAAAAGCAGCACATTAAATGTTTAATTTTGCAAGGAATAATGGAGACTTCAATTGATTCACGGGAGGCCAAAAATTCAGATTTGTATCTTTCACAGGAAATCATCATATAGGAAAATACGTATTACTACCATCAGCAAAAGTATATTAAGATCACCCAGTACACTGAAGTACTAAGACTCTTTCTTTTCATTTTTAAATAGCAAAAGCTTTATGGAATTATGAGACATCGTGCGGGAAACAAGCAGTCTTTCACAAAGCAGAGAGCAATAGTACTTTGAACACAATTAGGAAGGAAAAAAAAGCAAACAAACAACCCCCTCCACACACACACACACACACACACACACACACACTCACTCTCTTAAGGCTGAAATAATCTACAAAAATAAAATTATTTAAAAATACTAAAACTTTACTGAAAAATATCCTAGAATATCAATGTGAGCTGTCCCTTTCCCTAATCAATCTCTCAAATGATTAAGTGCAATTGTGACAAAGAAAAACTCTACTCCTCCACACTTTCCAAATTTTCTTTAATTCAGTGGATTGTCAGGTAAATGGACTATCTACAAACTTTCCTCCAGAGCACTAAAAGAAAAGTAAATGAAGTACTGGCCCCACAACACCTCAAGTTTTAGACCATAAAGACCATTGTGTTTAAAAACTGTAACAAATCTATTAAAAGTAATCTGCAAATTAGAATATAACTTAAACTAGCGATTTGAAATTACCAAATAAACTGATAGGCTGAATCAATATTTCCATCCCAGTGCAAGATACACAAATCCACAAGGAACTGCTCAAGCCAGCCAGACTGCCCCTTTTTCCAGCACACCACCATCCAGGTCAGCTTTAAAAGTGAAAGAATGTCCTGAAACTATTGCAACATTACCCAAAACATTCAAGTTGTAGGTTCTTAAACTCAACATATAGAGGTGATAAAATCAATAATGAATTTGGGAGAGAAGGAACTGAACTTTATCTCAGAATACTAACAAAAAGTGTGTGCGTGAGTACACCTCTGACTCCGATGAGGAAATTAAGATCAGAATTCATACAGATTACATCTCTAATGAATAAGCAAATACGATTTTTAAGGCTTTGTAGCAGACATCCTGCAAGGACTTAGATTTATGTCTCCTCTTAAACAAGATATGGGAATAGTTTGGTATTTGGAGTGATACTTCTGCCCTGCAAAGCACAGACTAACTTTACTCATTCGTCACTAAATCCAACGTACCAACCATCTACATCACATTTCCCCCTCCACTAACTCCCCACAGTAAGAACGCTTGCCCATAGTCATCCCTCTTATTCATATTTAAAAATTGTCATTCCAGCAATGTTAAAGTGACTATTGAAATTCAAAATCCGTGTAAATATTCAAGGGCGAAGGTAAAAGGAGATGCATTTCAGATTCCAGTGCTTTTCATGAATGAGACTATCAGCAGCAGAGAGCACAGCAAGATGAGAGGAAGCTCCCACAGGCCAGGGGGAGGAGAGCAGGTAAATGACTTAAAATGTGCTAAAATACCCCTTATTTACTTGAGACAGCACATTTGCAAATTACCTTTAAACTCTTTCACTAAATGCATCTCAGATCATCATCAGCCTTATGTATACTAACTAGTTCTGCAATAGGAGAAAACTAGACAAATGCATCTTTCTTTTGGATTAGCCGTTAGCAGCTAATATGCTACAAAAGTCACTGCTGACAAGGAATTATGGACAACGGGACTGAAAAGCCCCTTCACCCACGATTCCAGTAGGTGAAGTCTCAAGAACAAAAGCAAAGAATGTTATTCTATTTACATGCAAACTGCTTTGCAAACTGCATAAGGCGTGCTAGGCTAGGTGTGCTATTCTCAATTCTTACAACTCACTGGTGACATTTTATATAAAAAATATTACAAAGCATTTAATCAAATCCTGACATAATAGTCTCCACAAATACTATTTGCTGTAATGCTTATGACTTAAGATTAACAAATTGATTTTTCAAAACTTTTCTCATATCAGCACTTCTCTCAGCAAGTCAGTTATTAAATTACACAGCAACTGAGTCACTAGGAGGCTCTCATTGTGACCTCTCACACACAAGCAATTTTCACTTTACTGAAGTATTTAAAGTATGAAGTATGCATTTTAAAGTGCATAGGGAATTTTCCTCAGTGTTATCTGTTATTTCACTTATATTACAATTAACAAATTTGCATGATCTGTATTCATAGACTTTATTAAAATTCTCATTTTCAAAGAATCTGCTACGTTTTGGGTGACTACTGCAGAAAGCCTTATTCTAAAAACTTATTTTATACAGTGCCAGAATTGCACATTTCAACCTTACAAACTCTAGGCACTTCATTTTAGGATTGCTGAGGGATACTAGTTTCACTCTCCCAGATGAGCAACAGTGATTCTGAGAAAAGCAAAACACAACACAACACCCACAAAGCAAGCAGATGAGAACTCAGACTACAGATAATGCTTACAGGTAAATAAATTAAAAATACCATGTATTCAATTCTGTTTAATTATAAATATTTCTAATACATTTTTTTTTACTATTATAACTTCCAAATATGTCTCTAGCAAAGACCATTCCTGGCAATACAGCCTATTAAAAGTATAAAAAGCCAAAATGCCAGGTAAATTTTAATAAGCACTGTCATAAATATCTCCCAGATTACATCTGAAGATATTTACAAATAAGAGGAAAAAATCTATGCTATTAGGGAAAAAAGAACAAAATTAAACAGAGGAAGTTCACTGAAATTTCTATGCAATAATCTGTTCACAGTAACTCATCATATTCTGGCTAGTCACATAAAGTTGACTGCATTAAGGATGAAAAAAATAAAAATAAAAAAAGATTTTTCTGAAGTGCTGTTGTGAACTGCAACAGGGACAAAAAGCAGATTTCCAGGTCATGGTACTTGAGAGAAAGCCAGTGCCGGTTAGAAAGAACTTACCTAAGAGAAAATAAACACTGTGAAACAATTACACAGCTGGAAAATAACAACTAATTTAAAGTTGGCAGGTTCCACTGGAACAACGTCTTCCTAGCTAATCTTAATATCTCCCAAGAACCTTTAATGATATCTTGAAAGAAGCTAACGAAGTGCAAACTGATTGCAGAGGGACACGAGGGAAAACTAAGCGTGTTGTCTATCTTCAGGCAGTAATATTTGCCTAACTGAACCCCAAGTCTCAAGTTCTGAGTCGCAGTAAATTCACACAGACAGATTCTCTTGTGGAAGTTAAATAAAGTAGCTTTTTGAAATTGATTCTGCCACAGAAATTTTTGTCTGTGAGCCTCCTGTTCTTCCAGACAGAGCACTACGGGTGCAGGCAGCTACAGCAAGGGCGAGCGAGGTATGGTGCTGCGGTCACTGCAGTCTCGGGAGCCCTTCATCCCTTCCCACAGCTTCTTTCCCAAATGGTAGCAACCTAAAGACTTCTTCTGTCGAGTCTATAGTATTTCCAAATCCACATGACGAACATCAGGATTTCGTTGCTGGGGAAAATAAAGCAAAACAAAATATATTTTTATTAAAAGAGTTCAAACACATATTTGCACATGCAAATGACGGATTTCTCGGTTACCTAATGAATAAAAAAATCCCTATTTCTAGTAACATAAGGACTATTTTAAAATGAAATATAACTTCAATAAGTATAACCCATACTGTAAGCCATCTGGAAGACTAAGTCTCTCTTTATTTGACAAATACTTTTCAACTTCACAGCTAAATTAGTTCTTATGCATTAAAAAGTATGAAGCAGCTCTTTTGATTCAAAAAGGCAATTAGTTTTTACATAAGACTGTCCAAATAAGTCCAAATTCTTAAACACACACACATTTAACAGGTAGGCACTTTCCTGAATACTGGATAAGTGCTGAAATCATTTGTTCCAAGGTACCGGAGCTACTTACAAAAATGCAAAATACTGTTTCTGCTAAAAAACAGGCATCTTCTGATACTGTAGAAATGTCATGGTCATTACATAGCTTGTACAACCCACGGGATGCTTTAAGTCACCGACTTGTAAATCTGACTAGCATACTTAGTGAGGCATATTCCACAGCAACACAGCACTGAAATCCCTGCGCACGCCAAAAAATAGTATTCATGTCTAAAATCATCAGTCACAAGCCTGCTGCTTACAAACCACGAAGAACTACATCTCCTGATACAACTATACTCAAAAATATTTTTAACTTTAAACGGCATCACTCTGGGAAGATGAAACTAAATGTAGAATATTTTTCAAAGACTCCACACTATAGCCAAGGTCACCCTCTTGAGCGGTGCCTCTTGATGAAGGCAAAAGACAGTCACAGGAGGGCTGCATTTGTCTGGCAATCAGGATGCTTCAGTCCTGTTTGCATTCTAGAAAATACTACAGAACTGACCTCAATCAGTGAAAATGTTTGTTAGACCACATGCCTTGCAACTCCAAGTAAGGAAAATGCTTAACCATGTATGAATTGAATAAGGAAATGAATTGCACATTTTGTAAAGAAATATCAAACTGGAATACCTACTATGAAAAAGTGCAAAATAAATACTATGCAAATGTTTTCACCAACAACTTTTTGTGAGATTCAGCATCCTTAGGTGATTCAATATTGTCCCCTTGGCTGGTCAAACACAGGTGGGCAGAACATGAAGAACATCCATGTTTGTTTCACCTACACAGGAAGTTCTGACCACACAGCTGCTTGCTGATGCCCAAACTTTATTTCAGGTTTGGTTTGGCATTGGTTTGGGGATCTAAAATTGCACTCAGAAGCAGAGAACTAGAAGTAAAAAGCTACTACAATACTAAAAATCTATTTCTCCAATTCTGTTCAGAACTAGTAGACAGGTACCTGCGCAGGACCACAGTCACAAATAACTACAGCTAGGTTTCCATCCAGATGATATAAAACAAGAATTTCCACGGACAGAGACAAATAATGTGTTAAACATCATTTAAAAAATGATATTCTGTTAAAAGACTAGTCACATCAAAATTTCTTCTCTTTACCATATGGACAGAATATACAACGAGAAAATGAAAGCAAGCCAACCATTCTAATTATCCACAGCTAATTCTCAGATGAAGATTTTAATAGCAATATAATACCTAGAAATTAAAAATGGCCGCAATCCTTTGTTTATTTAATATATTTTAAAGATATTACAAAATAAAATCTCCCTAGAAAAGAGCTAAATCTTACCTTTAGGTCCTTCTCAAGCCTGTCTACTTCAGCTCCCAACGTGTCGATGATATTCTCACCATGCTTAAGCATAAACGCTTCTAGCTCTTCAAGAGTCTTCACTTGTTGAATTTCCTAGCAAGATATAAAATGTAAGAAGTTGAGATGGAGAAGAAAGGAGCCCAAGACCCAAGCTGTCCACAAGCTGTTTACACTACAGCATCTGGGTCACACAGTTAAGTGCTAAAGCTGCAGAATGCTGAGACAAATAGGTGACTGCTGACAGACAAGCTCACTTTGAATGGCAGGATCTGTAAACCATAACACTGCATCTGCAATACCCAAGGAGATTGCCTCTGCCAAAACAGACGTGACAGGCTTCTGATTTTGACTAGAGAGCATACATATTAATAAATATTTATCAGAAAAAATATGTTCCTACCAAAATTATTTCACACAAGCCTGTATTTTCTAAGAAAAGGTTGAATTAAAACCTGCCCTCCTTCTAACCAAGGCCTTCCTCAAACCCGAAGCACAGCAGCACATAGCATGATTCTGCACAGAAATATTCAACACTGACAGTAAGTAAAAACCTCTGAAATCCTTCAAAATGAAAAGTGGAATATATCCCACCTGTTGGAAAAACATGCTTTAAACATAATTGGAAATGGGAAAGTAAAATCAAAATGCTGAAAATTACAAAAACACTTTTTGAAACATACTTGTAGCAGCTGTTCAATGTCTTGTTTTTCCAGGTAAGAACGAGTAACAACCCGTCCATCAAAGTCTACTTCTGCCTTGAATCTCACTTTGCTCATTCCCATGTCCGTGGCTTTAACATCATGAATTGCTCTGTAACACACAATTTACACTCTCACATTACAAAAATTGTGACATATGAGTTTTTTGTGCTCTAAAGTGCAAATTTCCAAGAAACCAGGGAACACGGCACCATGTTCATTCTGTAACATGGGTTATGCAGAAGCCTTTACACCATAACACAACTGCAGCACTTCCCTGCCAACTATTACATAATTCCAGAGACTGAATATATATACAATAAAATTGTAAATAAATTAAACATTTAAGCATTAATCAACTATAAAAGCAATATTACAGTATCATTTTTGTGCTTGTACTTGAAGTTGAGGTAGCATTCTCATTAAGCTATATGTAAATTCCTGTAATTAATTTCTGTGAGAATGTATTTGAAATTATTTCCACTATAGAAGGACTGACAGAAGTATTTGCTTATTAAATTTCCTAGTATGTAATAATCAAGTTTCTAAAGTTTTAATCGAGAAGATTCCATTTTCAAAAGAAAAAAAAAAGAAAAAAGAGTTGTCTCATTTACAGTACTTGAATTATTATTTTCAAACGTTTTCTTCCTTTTTGTTGGGCTATTAAGAGATTCTGAGTTGCCTAGATTCTCACCTTACGACAGGATCGCTCTCCAGTAACTCAGTAAGTCGCTGCAGTTGTTCAGGTTGAATGGATTTCCCCAGCAGGGCTTCTGTATTAGTGTAGATGAGAAACGCTGACACAGTTCCTAACAAAGTTCCAACACCTAGAGACCCCAAGCTGTCATAATAGGTGTTTCCTAAAATAAATAAATAAAGTTAATTTCACAGAGTAATTCTAAAACATAGAAAGTAATTCAAATTTCACACCAAAAGTAGTACATGGTGTTTTTCTTTTTAATTCATGTGTTGGCAATTCTGTACTTCACTACTGATGAGCAAGATAAAGCTGAAAGAAAATAAGCTCTTAAAATAAAGTCTCATGTCCCTCTCCCTCACCTAGAAAACACCATGCTTTCCTGTCTCCTCTAGGACTAATAAATTAGCCATTTTTTTTCAGTTACTTAGAATTTATGATAGAGATTTAACTTTATGAATATAAAATTACATACACCTAAACAAGGTAGTAGGCACAATCAAAAGTCTGTTCTTTCACTAGTAAGGTTAACACTGCCTTATGAAGACAATTATATCCATCATTTTGATGGATGCATAGGACAGTCTGATATGATACTCCTAAACAACTTAAGCCTCGCAAGTATTAACCACTTCCAGAAGGCAGAACTTGCATAACGGATGTTCTAAACATGTATTCACACATATTCAGATTTGTCACAAAACTATGGATGGGATAAAAAAAAAAAAAAACAACTATATAAATAACGAAGCCATTAAAAACCTTCAGAGAAACAAAAAATAGCACATTTATTTTTCTAAACAATTAAATAAAGCCAACACCTACAAAGGGACAAATACTCCCTCCCTTTGAAAGGCTTAACCGAGTAGCTAGAGGCAGACTGTGGCAGCTCTGAGTCATTTGTCATACAGATCATCATATTTGCACAAATTAGGTTTGCCACATTATCTTCAGATTAAAATAATTGCTCCTGAACAACACTACCACCATTCTGTATCTGAAAGAAGAACTTCTACCTTAAATCCTCCCCACATGTACATGGAGATGCATACAGCTGAATAAGGCAGCTCCAATTATGTAATCATACTAAGACAGGAAGTAATTCACATAAATTGACAATAATAAATATACTTTTAAGAAAAGAATATCTTGGTATGCTTAACAAAACAGGTCAAAAGGAAGTGAGACCCACTGGTATGTAAGTATTCTTTCAAGCTTGATCCCACCAACTACAAACACATCAAAAAAAAAACTTTATTTACAATCTGAAGATATTTAAAATTGAAAAAGAAGAGTGAAGCTTAAAAAAAGATACCAAACAATAAGCAGCAGTGGAATGCCAGCAGACACAATGTTACTGCATGAAGCAACTAAACAGCAGAAGCAAGTACAATCACAGTGGAAGCGTTCTGCATAAACTGAAGTCTGCTTTAGTAGTAAATTATCCATCATACACTGTAAACCATACAGCAATACACTTTTTAAAATGTGTGCAACAAAAAAATGGTCTAGTTAAAAACTGAAGAATAACTGCCATCAATTTTCGATTGTTCTGCTAACAAAAATGATGTTCCAGGCAGGGTGAGGCAGAAATAAAGTCATACTATGACAATAAGTCTAAAGAAGAATAGCCATATATTTAAAGTCAAACAGTATAAGCTAAATAAAGCATGTTTTGTATTTGTATTATACACAGAAGAAAATCTGTATGCAGCCTGTCCCATGTTGAGGAAGAATTTACCTGTTAAAGAAGTCAGGCCCATGCAGGTAGCAGCTACGGCCACACTCAGAACTGCAGCAGCGTCCTCCAGCAGCACCACATTTGTACTAGGATCACGGCTCTGCACAACTGTATTCAACAAAAATTGCACTGCTGTAGAAATCTTAGCCTCTACCACGTATAGTGCTTTATAAGCTACATTTATATCAGCAAATTAAGTGGAAAATTTTCTATAAGCATAAAAATAGTCAATCGTGAATTTTTACATTTGCACACACTTCCTTAAAGCATTCATAAATACACTGAGCAAGCTTTGCACCACTTAGGGAAGTATCTCTAAAATATCTGAAAATCTAATGGGGAGTTTATCCTGAAGAATGCAAAACTACTTTAGTATAAGTCTCTAAGCAGTGCTACCTAAAATCAATGGGTTTATCATGGAGTAAAATGTATTTGTTGCTAGAAGAGAAAACATGGATTAAACAGGTCAGGGGGAAGCAAAGACAAACAAAGTTTTCAATAATTAAGCAAATACAGATAAATAGATTTTTTTTTTAAATAATCACATGCCTTATTGCTATAACAACACATACCATATTGATAAAATGAGAGACCCTTGGCTCGAGCACTCCTCCGAATTTCATTTATAGCAACAAGAAGGGTAGCTGAAACAACACCAGATAGTTGCTGAAAATGGTTAGAGGCAAAATAATTTATGTTTCAATTTTGAAGAGAGAAAACCTTTCCTTATATCATAGTAATAGGTCCATCTAGAAAGCCCTGACTATCAACAGTTTGAATAATGGTAAAGCATAAAGCTATATCTATACTCACTTGCACACCTCCCTACACAAGTCAAAATACTTTATTCACTGGTAGGTTAATATAAAATAGGCACTGTAGATACGGTCTCAAATTATATTATTTTTATACTTTTTTTACACAGCAGATGAGGAACAGAAAAATGTTTTCCCAAATACAACACAACTATCAGCGACAGAGCTCAATTTTTTTGTGGTGTAAGCAAAAATCAAATACTATAATTACTCAGATTATACTGTCACAGATTGAGAATACATATATAGAAATATTTCTTAGTACTGCATACCTCCTTCAGACACCAACGATCCTGCTAAGATGCAATATGCCTATTAAAAAAAAAAAAGATGTCTCTTAATTATCACATTATAATACTATAATTACTCAGATTATACTGTCACAGATTGAGAATACATATATAGAAATATTTCTTAGTACTGCATACCTCCTTCAGACACCAACGATCCTGCTAAGATGCAATATGCCTATTAAAAAAAAAAAGATGTCTCTTAACTATCACATTATATACATGTTCGTACAAATTCCTTGCAGCCCCACTCAAGAATCCCATTCCCCACTCTGCCATCCAGGTATCCATAACTACAACACAATGAGCTGACAACCCACAACATCCAAACTATACAATGTGTGTTGCAAAATACATTTTTTTTTCTTGAAACATTCTCAATAAAGCTGGTTAGAATTAGTTGTTTGAGGATTAAAACTGACTCAAGAAGTGTGTTACATACACTGTCACTACTTTCTATTAAGCCCCTCAAGAATTGTCTATAAGTACAACATCAAGCAAGATTTGCTTACCCAGAGGAGAGATTCTATAGGATGAGGATGGAGTAAACCCATGATTCCATGATACCAAGAAAGTCCTGCACCCATCATGAAAATTCCAACTCCGCTAATCAGAGATGCAATATAGCGCATATTTGTGAAACCATACCTAGACAAAACAGAGAAAGTGAGTTAAAAAAACAAGATCCTAGCTCTTCACAAACACATCTACAACCCTTTCCATGAAGTTTTCACACATCTTGGAAACTAGCACCATGTAACCTGGCATTTACTTTAAAAAACAGCTGCTAAATTGAATGTAATCAAAAAAAAAAGACATTTAGTATAAAGATATTTTTCTAATTCCTTTTCAAACAGCTGTTTAGACAGCTGTACTAGCTCTTGTACTGTCATCTTGCTCTAGCCCTTTCTTCTATAGAAACTGAGATATTTCTTAAAAAATATGTTGCGTTTATTGAAATGATACTTCTAAATAAAAATTCTGGCCATTATAAGTAGCTATTATACCTATGCTATTCCTTTAAATAACATCATAAAACATGAGTCGTCTTTAGGTAGTTCAGCTAACTGCAAACTTCAAATACATGCAATTTTATGAGCAAAGAGAAAAGCTAAAGCAATATTAAAGTGTACATGTATTCTTTTGTTTTTTATTAACTGCTACTAACAACCATAGGGACATTTAGAAAGCAGAAGTAGAGAAGAAGTATTGAGGAAGAAGGGAGAAAAGTGAGGGAGGAGGAAATGTAATGAATATTTAGAATAATTTAATACATTTCTTATATTATCTGGTGTTCTTAATGAAGAAAAGCTTATCTAATTCTTTAAGTCAGACATACTTTAACCTATTGCTTACAACTTGAATGACTTGTCCAACCAAAAATGTGAAGGGTAAAGCACGTAATCTCCAAGAAAATATAACAAAAATGATAGCTTTAGCCTTCCACAAAACCGTAAGAACATATCAATAGAAATCTCTATTACTGGGACAAGCAAGCAAGCAAAAAAGTGGTTCTGTGAAATAGATCTCCTTACTTGTATCAAACGATACAAGCGATTTCCTTGCAGAAAAAAAAATAGTAAGTAATATTTTATTTAAAGAACATGATCTTCATGTAGGGAACACTTACCATCAAATAAATATTTAAGAAAAAAGTGAATCTATCCAATAGAAATGCCCAGAATAACTTTAACGAGTAATGCCAATGCAAACCAAAAGCATAGCAAACAAAATCACAAAATATATATGCATCAAGACACTGAAATTAAAACTCTTGCAACTTGGCAGATGCCCCCTTTTCTTATTATTTCTTTCGTAAAGATAGGAGGAAAAAAAAAAAAACACACATGACATGAAACATAAAATTAAGGAAGAACAGGATGAAGCACAAGAAAGAATCGATCTTACTCCCATATGTAAATACTAAAACCATTATTTACAGCAAAAGCTTACGGATGACTAGGGTCAGGTGTCCTTGCAGACTGACTGATGCCCAAAGCTAGTAATGCCTGTTTAGGACAAAAGGAAAAACGATCAGTTGAAATACCTAAGAAACACTGACTGAACTTGATAAAAAGATAAATAAAATCAGATGCAAATTGTTTATTTGAATATTTTTTTTTCTGATGTTATGCTACAACTGGAATACTGTTCTCAGAATTTGTCTTCCAGTATCTACCTTGCTTAAATTTATTAAGTGTAACTGTAAGAATCACAAAATCAAGGGGAGGTTCAGGTTAGATATTAAGAAGAATTTCTACACAGAAAGAGTGGTGAAGCATTGGAACAGGCTGCGCAGGAAGCGATGGTGTCACCATCCCTGGCAGTGTTCAAGAAACGTGCAGATGAGGCCCTTAGGGACGTGGTTTAGCAGATGGTGATGGGTTTATGGTTGGACTCGATGATCTTGAAGGTCTTTTCCAACCATAATGATTCTATGATTCCATGAATATCATTTACAAAGCACGCTCAATAACAACAAAAAGTTCCGCCATGCACCCGAGACTCACTAAATAAAACACAAAAATGTTGTCAGTTCTCTCTGCTTCTTTAAAACCATTTAGACACTATAGGCTAACTAACAATTCCTAAGAGACTGAATTATTGCTTTCAACTGTAAAACAATTACTGTAAGTATCTATCTTTAAATACACTCACCTGGTTGCAAGTGTCTGCTAAAGAATGTATAGCTTCTGAAAACATACTTGCAGAACCTGTGTAAACCCAAGCAAGTAGTTTGAAGAAAAAATTCAGTCCATTTCTGAAAACAAAGAAATACACAAATCAGAATATTTGGCCTTTAATATTAATTTTCAGCAAAACCAGAAGCATTGCATAACCATGCATTTCCTACTAGCAACTGATGAAAGAAAATATCGATTCATTAGAGACTGTAAGAATATATAAATTGAGGAAGCACAAATTCAGCCCATTTTCATACACAGAATTAGACAGTTTACTGAATTGCATTATTTTTATGGCTGGGAGGCAGCAATTTTTTTATGAAGGAGGTAGCAATTCTTTCCATACTGCGCTCTACCCAGTGACCTCAAAGTGGTTTAATTTTTTTTTTAATTCAGTCTTTTTATCTTCCAAAATGGAAAGAATTATTGTAATTTATAGGAGGAGAAAAAAATAGTAATAATGAATAAATCACCTAGTCTGTTATAACACTAACCTACAATTTAATCTTCCTGTTTTAAGTTTCTTCCAACTCACAGCACAGAAAGAATATGGGATTCATGAACACTCTTGACTTTTGTGTTCTTCTTCTCAGTGTTGTATTGATGGAGTTGACAATTATCTGAAGGTGCAACACACTTCTAGGGCCCCATACATCCAGATACTTTCACCCACACAATTCTACATGAGTGCAAGTATTTCCTTTCCAAAGGAGAGACCACACTAAGATTTTCAAGTTTCAGGTCCAGCAACATTATTCATTCATCAATTGTGCCAGTGGGTTGGAGATAGAAAGATAGAAAGATCAAGACTGCTATATAATAATTAAAAAGAAAAAGTGGAGCTACAGAGCAGTTGAAAACTATTCAAGGTTTCCTGTCTAACTAGATATTGACATCAACATTACACAATAGATAAAAGTTAAAAACAAACCAAAAATATCCAGATTCATTACGGGTGTGTGGAAATTTTCTGTCTAGACTAAATTTGAAAACTAACACATTTCACTTCATGCTTCCAAATAAGCAGCAACGTGAGAAACATCCTTTGCCACTAGCACTTTTAAGAAGTATTATATAGCACACACACTTTTTTTTTCTCCCTAAAAAGACAACTGCATTAGCATGTCCATAAAATCACCTCAGTTATGTAGCATTCCAAATAATTTGTTTGGTTAATGGTGTTCATTCCTATCTGACAAAACAAGTCTGTTCCTGCATTTCTCTAACAGGGCTTGAAAGTTTCATTCTTGGATGCAGGATTCTGTTAACTCCATTGATTCTACCAGTGCAGCTAATTGTATCTTCACAGTGGATCCAAAGACAATAGGATCCAACATAAAAACTTTAAAAGATTTATCTTTCTTGACCCAAAACTAGTCTCCAAAAAAGTCCATATAGATGCTAATGAGGTCACAGCCATGAACAAAGTCTTATATATCTACTCTGGTGATGGCCCTTGAAAATGCAGTTAAATTTCTAATCTTCTGGGAGTAGTTCTGGAATTTTCCCAGGCTTTTAGCAACTTGACAGTTGCAGATCATAACGCATACATATATGAGCACACACACACACAATCATATATATAATACAGCTTGAAAACACACACTTATTTTTAGAATAATAAAAATTCTTTTTTTTCCATTTGCACATACAAAATATAAACTTTTTTACACTTACATGCAAATAGCTACCATTACCACCTTTCCTGGTCCCTTGAGAAACATAGCTGCTGTACTGGACCGTGGCTATGCAAAGAAATAAGAGATTATGAAAGCAACCAAATATTGACCTTATGAAGAACCTACTGAACAAATTATTTTAAAAAAATAGAATTACACTCTATTGCAAATGTCAAGTCACAGCCTTCAAAGCATACTAGTTTACACCCAGTTCGTAGTTGGGTTTTATAAGTTACTATAGGTTACTATGAATGGATGGCTACAAAAAAGGATAAACAACCAAAACAGCCTCCAGCATGGGCCAGCCAACCACAAGAAGAACGGCAAGTTGTGCAGCAAAAAGATGAAGAAATTACTCTGCTATGACAAAACATCTGGATCCAAAGGATGGGTCTACTTAAGGGAAGAGGAAGGGCCACACGTAGGGCATATAGAAAATTGTTAAAACCTTGCTCCGAGAGAACTATCCGCTTTTTCTAATTAACTATATATTTATTATATCTTAGCATAATACAAAGTATAACAACATTACTTTTTTACACTTTAGTTATATATTACAAGCTAGGTAGAATCACATGTACAGAGGTAAATTGCTAAAGATGACAACTGACAAAAACTTCCCAGTGCATTGCACTCCTACACTTACAAGCCATTTAATCCAGGATAATAACATTAACCACTGCTTTACAAACACAAATAGATCTAGTATATTACAGTAAAGATGAACTTCATGAGATTTTCAGTTACTTGTGCTTTTATAACTGTTTCAATTCTTTCCATAGAAAGGTAGCCCGGTACATCTTGTAGTATTTTTCTAGACAAAAGCTTTTTAAAAATTCTTACCTTAGTATTTCCAAAAAACTCCTTGTATTCTTTCAACAGCCTTTGGTTTCTAAATAGATCTGCAGCACAAAATTATCATCATGAATATTTACTAGCAATTGCAACAGTTTAAGACTGTTATACAGCAGCATCTTTATACAGCAGCAATCTGCTGCTTATGCTTATTATACAGTGCTTATGCTTATTATACAATCTGCTTATGTTAAAGCTAGACAGTCCTATCAAACTAAAATCTCTCTGTTGATCTCCACTCAATATATTTTCTGACTGTATCATAAAGATGGTAAAGCATAAGATAGTAATAGCAATCTATTGGCATAGATAGGAATGAATCACTGATAAGATCTTACCAGTGATTAGTAATTCCAAATTTGTGTCTTCTCAATGAAATAACATGATTACCATCTCATGGATTTCTAACATCACATTTTGTTGTTTACATTTGAAATATTTTGAAAATTCTATACTCACTTTCTCTGTACTCGATCTCTGCCTCTTTACGGCGTTTTCTTTCTCTAGCAAGAGCCTCTGGACTCCCCCAGACTTCAAGAGACCTGTACAGAGTAAAAATAACAACGGTTCTATTTATATAGGTTACTGATAAAACAACACACCTGTAACTTCTTTCAAGTTTGACTACGTAATCACAAACTCTCCTAAAAAAAGAACATCATTCTTTCTGATAATAAAACACACAGTCCATTTTATGGAATAACAGGCTTAGGGAAGAGAAGTATTTCATCTTTAGACACATAAAACACACCCTTCAGTTTTGTATCCACCACGTAATTGTTATAATAATGGGGATATGTAGTTTATTCAGATAGAAAATGGAAAATACAATTGCCCTTTTACATTGCAAAGCTGACTTTTAAAAATTCTCTCGTAAATCCAATTAGATGATAGAACAATTCTTCATTACAATGCTCTTACTTTGCCTCTACATCCGATCTCAGGTACACAGTGAAAGTCTCGGTGTCATCATGGGGACTTCGTCGTTTAATTTTCCTCAGCTGGTCTAAATCACTAAGGAAAGCAGACAGTTTAGTGAAAGAAAAAGAAAGCAGATTATTCTAATATTATTTTTGGTTCTGGGTAGTCTTCCACAGTTCTAGTATAATTGGCAGGACAGAAAACTGAAATTGTCTAATCAGTCAAACAGAACGGACATGCAACATGTAGCAAGTTATCTCTAGGAAGCTCTTGATGGTAGTTTTACTTTCTCACAATCAAAAATCCAAATCATGTCCTAAAAGCTAAAAGTTATACTAGAAGTTAACTAAAACTAAAAGAGTTAAAAAACTAAAAGTTAACAATATCATCCTCAAAACCTATACACCCAGTTCTACCTACTCATTTCTGCAAAAGGTCACAGATAACAAAAAAATATATATACATATTTCCAGTAAGTAAGGTCTGTTGGCAGGAACAGGACACAGTAAAAGAGGGTAATCAGGTAGCAGTAGTCAGCCTACCATCAACCATTTTTTTTTCCTCAAGATTACAGACCTCATCTTAATATATTAATATACAATCTAGTAAAGGATATAAGGGTTCAATACAACATGGTAGAAAATTCAAATTTCCAATGCTCTTCCAGGGATGTTCTGCACCTCAGATCACGCTGACCCCAGAACACTGAAACAGGATTATTTACCATTCCCCTCCACAGCTATCTGCTCTAGAGGCAGACTCCCCCCAGCTCCTCTGCAACTAAACGCATCATAAATTTCCTAGATTTCCATGCCACCATACCTGGATTTAAGACAGAACTCATTTATTGCTCTGACTCCCGTGATGAAGTTATTCTGTGTATATTTTGGTCCATATTCTCTCTTTTTAAGGACTGCTTTCACTTAAAAACAGAAACAGATAAGTAGTTAGGTCATTCACAGAGACTACAGTAAAAACTTGAAAAGGTAATTCATTCTGCTATCAAATCATGGTACCTCGAAGTGAAGAATTGGGATAGAAAATTTACAATGAGGAAACAAGAATGTCCTTGATGGTAGAAATAAATAAAAGAACTCCTCCAGCTGTGCAAAGAATGCTATTTTTAGGCTGAAAATGTTTGCAAACAAAAGTTTTAGTTCAAGGCCCTTGAATACATCACACACCTACTGCTGTACTGTTGCTGTCAGCTACATCTCCAACAAAGTGTCAGAAAGGTTTTGATTACTAGGACAGCAGTGATGTACGGTAGTTTGGAAACCCTTGCTCTGACAAGCACAATGGCATCTTAGAGCTCTAAAGTTTTTTCAGTACTTCAGAAACAATTTCTGAATTCTTCTGCAGAGAAGAATTTTGGTTTGCAGATCACATGAAGAACGGAGACGGGCTGCATGCATGTTTTTCCTCAACTACTACTTTGAAAACAGCCACATAATATTTAATATTCATAAAAATTAAAATATACACGCTTTATCTAGAAAACTTCCTCTTATCACATCAGATTTTTCCATACAAGAAATAAAAGATTGCCAGACCCATTTAAAAATAGGATGAGGAATTTAAAACTCATACAATCGTTGCCTTCTTGTCTATACATACATAAAAATTAACTCATTTTCAAATTTAACTCATCAGAAATTTACTTCTGTTAAAAAACTTAAGATTAATGGAAGAAAAAAAGAGTTACAATAGCTGAAGAATGTAGTATGAAAAAACTGACAATATCGAAAAATAGCTCAAATTCTGCAGACAAAAAGACTTACAAACAGACTTCCTACCACAGGAGCTAAGGGAGCTACCCTTTCCGTATTTAGTTCAAAGCTTCTCCTTGAGTCATAAGATACTTAAAGAAAAAAATCTGCATTTGAAGATCTCAAGAACAATTTTTCACAGAATTTTGCATTTTCTTATTTCTTAGTATTGAAAGCTTCAAGGCAAAATGCATTGCTTGACACTCAACACTCCATAAGGGTAACAAATAGCAACATTTACCAAGATAATCTGATTTCTGTCATTCAGTTTGAACTTAAACAATTGTTTTCAAAGTATTTGAGTAATCACATTCATCCCACAATATCCTGAAGCAAAAGCATCCAAAAAGAAGATATTTCATAAAAGCAGTTCATCATTCACTAAGGTAAAAATTGTATGAACATTTTTTAATAGGAAGAATATAACCCTCCTTTTCTTATTTTAAATATACACATATACCCGAAGTCATAACCTTACCAAATATTAACTAGTGGATTTATTGAACACTTCCTAATACATTTTTCAGAAATATAGGTAAATTTAACTGAATGAAAATACTATTAATACTATTTAACATAGTAGCAGATGTCAATAGTCCTACCCTAAAGTTCACACATAAAATAGAGGATAAATGTGAAAAGTATATCCATTTCCATTATAGGGACCAAATCAAACACAAGATGATGTAATTACAACTCCTTAAATAGCACAGATTAAGATCAGTGTTCCTTTAAAATTATTATTGTAGCAATATTTGGAGCAATAAGTGTCAAAATCACAATGGTCTCTGAAAAATAGAATTCCACTTTCCAAAAGTTTTAATACAAACATTCTTGCCTATGTGTCCATAATCTAGAAGCAGATCTCTTTGCTAGAAGATGTATGTATTTTTACAATTACTTCACAGTCTTTCTTGATGCAATTTCTCCTAACTGTCTTTTGTGCGCCCCTTAGATATGTACACGTTAAGGACAACAGACTCAAGGAAATTGCTGTAAAGGATGTAGACAAAAACATATTAAAAAATAAATCCAGGAAGATATTGACATCAGCTTGTTAGTTACATGCACTATTATTCGATGTTTCTTTTAAATGAGAAAGAGACAGGAAAGAAATCTGACACAACTTATAGCTTGCTGAATCATGAGCAGAGGCTCAGATTTGAAGCCATTGCAAAGACTCCCGCCCCCTGCCAGGAATTTAAAAGAAAATGATCACTTCTATTCTGGTGGGTATTTTTCCCAACGTACATAATGCTAGGAGCAAC